AAACATCGATTGTTACGAAACCGATCCTCAGAATCTTCTGCTTATAACGAATCGAGTTCTGGCAATCAGTTGGATGATGATGAACCTAGGGTGAAAAAGGCGCGCAGCCGGGATCTGACGCCGTCGTCGCCAAATGATACCGCGGTGGAGTCCAATACCATGACACGACGAGAGGCCAAGAAGTTTCAGAATGTGCTGTCGCAGATAGAAAAACAAGATAAAGAACTTCAACAAGTCATACCACAAAAAAGAAAGAAGCGAGGGAGCATGGCCTCCATAGCTCCTATCACCAGCCCAGGATCAGAACCCTCTCGAAGTACAGACGAACCGCGCAAAATAAAATCTCGCAAGACGGAATCTGTCGCCTCTAGTCCCGGCTCAAACGTTCGCGAGGTTTCTGTCGTGGATGCGTCAACAGGCCAGTCACCCACCTCTTCGACCAGATCCCGAGGATTAAGTTCGAAATCGCCAGCTGCTTCATCGATATCGTCGAAAGTCCGACGGAAAGTCAAGAAAAAGGAACCTAAACACGTTCATTTTGTTGATTCGGCTGTCCAGACCGACCTTGTAACAGATTCTGAAACAGATTCTGATGCGCCATGGTGGAAGCTTTCTGTACCTTCGACAACTCCTCGACCCCCCCGCTTACCTCTTCGAAAACGTCTTATGCAAAGTTTACTAAGGGACCGGGAGGAAGCTGCTTCGGCAAGTCCAACTTCGGATAAGAAACGAAAACATGACTCTATCGCCGAAGAAGATGTTCCAACGTTGCATTCACCAAAGATGACAAAGACTAGCGATGTCGAAAACCTGACCACAGAAAAGCCCTCCGAGAGTAAACAAGAAAAACAGCCTTCAACATCAAGTCCAACCCCTAAGCTGATAAAGACCGACAGTTTATCGGCGTCGCCACAAAGTCTATCTGGGCCCGCACTGGGGGATCTATTCAAAGACTCTGAGCGTCCAAATAGTGAAGCCGACCAAAGAAAGGCGAAAACCCCTAGCCCGGTAGATAAGCCCGCTGTAAACGGTGTCAAGCCACCAGGTTTAAATCTGCAAGTTCCCGCCTCTGGATCATCAGTCAACGCCACTTCGCCCAGTGAGAAAACGCCACAGTCGAGCTCGACATCACAAACCTTTTCGCCATCGGTCCTTGCTGCAGTTCAGCAAACTAGTTCGTCTAGTCCGACAACAAAGACGAAGAAGCTTAGTTTACAGGATTATCGAAAGAGGAAACCGCAATCTGGTGACCTTGGGAAACCCGGGGAAAAGAAGGAGGATTCGAAACCAACGGAAAAGAAGGAAGACGATATTGTTAAGGTTGAAGAAGATTCTTCTAAACAACTTTCGTTCCTAAGCGTTCTTGGACCATCTGGCGAATCGTTACCAACACCCCCACCACCCTCACCTCCTCCAGCTGCTTCACCTCCATTACCTTAGTTAATGATACTTTGGGGATGTACGATAAATAGGTCTTTGCCGGGGGTTTTATTTTCGATTTTCTTTTTTTCACTACTTACTCTCGACTACTTATGGGATGGGCTGGGTTGGGTCATTACGATAGCTTTATTATTATGGGGTTTTGTCTTTTTTCTCGGATCGCTTTGGGACGGTATCTGTTTTTCCTGCTTTTTTATGCGATGTCAAGGCCATACAATGGGGTTTACTCTTTTTTTTTTCTTTCTATGTTTCTTTAACTCTCAAGTAGTTCTTTACTTTTCTTTTTTTTTTTTTCCTTTTTTTTTTCATCCAGGATTTTTCTTTTCTTTTTGGGGGTTTTTTGAATTGTGCTTTTTTGAAAGGATTTATATCGCCTATGAAAGCTCGGTGCAAAGTGAAAAATGGGTTATTTTTTACGAGAGAGAGGATGAAAGGGAATCAATTACGATGTTTTTTTTAACATGAGGTTGCCTTGACGCGGACGGCATTCAGTATCTTTGTTTGAAAAGATTAACTGACAAGTTTATGTGCACTTGATTTTTTGTAGAAGATGTTTTTGACATGTTTGCAAAAGAAACCTGGTTTTGAAAGAACGATACGCCTGTTTTTCTTTTTTGTTTTTTTTTTGTTGGATGCTAGTTTATGCTATGGTCTATGTTCTATGGGGGTTCTGTTCTTTTTATTTATGAGGAGGAAGTATGTGATTGGCAGGATACCCTGAATTCGGTGTGAAGAAGACATTTTTTGTATAGTATGCGGAAATGGATATAAAGAGAAATGAAATGAAATTAAGATGATTTGTGTGTCTTTTCTTTCAATAGAAGGGTTTCTGGTTTTTTTTTTTTTTTTTTTTTTTTTTTTTTTTTTTTTTTTTTTTTTGGTTGGTTTTGGTGGTTCGTGATATGGAGTGATTGACGAGTCTGTGGACCCTGTGAAACGTGAAGTGAAATGAGACTTATCAAAAATACCATACCATACCATACAGTATTATATCGAACGACATCGACACCAGAAAACATCATGAGGTAACTCGACCCGTGAACAGAAAAAAAAATTAAAAAAAAGAAAGATAACACATAATTACCTGACGAGTCATGGGCATTATATATCATGGTCACCACTCCGACGGACTGCCCTTATCCTGTAGGAGTCGTATGCAGTACTCTACATAGTCTTGTCTAGTCCTGTCTAGTCTAGTCTGTGCTCATTTCTATTTCAACTTTCAACTTTCAGGTTCAGCAACTTGATCGAGATCGAGATCTCTTTCGCCCGAAAGGACGAAAGGACGAAAAGGTGAAAAGGTGAAAAGGTGAAAGGGAGATTTGGTGGTTTGATGGTTTGAAATTGCGTTTATTCAGCGGATTGAGGTAATGGGCTGGGATGGGATGGAATGGGATGGACGCTGTAATATGCTGTGTTGTGTTGTGTTGTATTGTTTTTCGTTTTTTTTTTTTGGGTCTTGGTTTCGTAGCTTATAATAATAGGGAATAGCGAGTTTGGAATGGGGAGGGTAGGTTTTAGATGTCAGGGTTTGGAGAGATGGATAATGGATCTAGATGTTTAGAATGGGAAAGATAAGGAGGATAAAGGATGAAAGATGCAAGATGCAAGATAAGGGATATGTTGCTAATTTTTCTTATGATTTTGGGGACGTGGGATGTGGGGTGTGGGGTGGAATGTACGTTGCCTAGAATACAGTGGGTTTTGTTTTGTTCGGAATCAGTATATGGGGTGTATCAGGGGGATTGTCCTGAGGTTTTCTTTTATTTTTTTTATTTTTATTTTTTTATTTTTATTGTAATATGACTGGTTTTATTACATTTCTGGAACGTCGACGAAATATACGGGAGATGGTATGACCGTTGATGCTAAGTTATACCAGTGAATTTCTTCAGGTGTCTGGTTTAGAATTAAGATGTTGAGGTTTCTTTTTTCAAGACTCAATGCCAGATCGGATTATCAGAGTTATTTGGTTTCAGTCATGATCATGGTTACTCGACTTTTTTTTTCGATTGCGATTATGTACCTGAATGTTAGAGAAAGTATTAAGAAATTCTTTGACAATCGTTGGCAGCTCGATATAATTATTCGGAGTCGGTGGTATATTAGTTTTGGTATCCGGATTTAATAATAGTTACGGCGCTTTTAACAATTTACAGTCAGCTAGTTAGTAGTTGAAAGACCCCCGGAATTGGTTAGGGTAGGCTATAGCTGTCACTAGCGGGGTCTGGGTCTATTATCCATGGTTTTATATTTCGTAATTAATGTCGGATAACAGTTGGCGAAGGATTATGTGATGTGAACACCTTGTGAGCTGGAGAAACCAGGGCAAAGCTTAGATAGATCATCGACGGCAGGGTTTGAAAATGTTTTGTAAATTGTAGTGGTTTTATGCATTGTTGATGGTTGGTTGTTTATATCAAGGAAAGTGATGTCATTGACATTTTTGCACAATCCGGTAATTTGGCGGTGTATTGCGGGTAGGTCGTTACCTCCAAGTTCAAACCTCGCTGGCGTCTAAGGTAAAAGAATATGACGTTTTGCCAAACCTAGCGGAGAGTAAGCAATATATAGATTCAACACAACACGAAGTTTTTCCATTACCTTTTATACGAAAATTTAAGCAGCTGCATTAATGGGACATAATAAACAATCGTACAGGAATGAAAGTGAATGTTTTTAAAGATCACTGGTTCTCACCAGTCTCCTGGCTTAAATCATCCGTTATACTTGAAGATTAATCATCTGTCGTTTCAATCATCGACTTCAGCAATCTGCATAGAATCTTCACAAACTTCCTTTTCTTTGATCCCTCAATCATACATAGCTTCAGTTTATGAATTCTTGTTTTCCGGTAAGTTTTTAACCTTCTCAACGCTTTTGCTAATTATTCCAATGAACTTCTCAGTGCTGTTGGTCTTCATTAGATATTGAACTTCTGCACCATCCTTCTGAAGGCACCATACCGGTAGTTAAGCATGTCTAAACATACAGTCTCCAAGACACAATGTGGTCTATTTTAACGTGTGGTATCAGACGGCATAAAACGGATTGTGATGTATGACGTAAACGCTAGTGATATCACGTGAGGGCAGCTAATTCGCGGTGCATCACCTTATGGAAGTTTTGATTTCCTTTATTGATGCGAGTAAATGGATTTCTTAGAAGCTTGAAATATATCTTTTCTGCGTTGTTATCCACTCCAATAAAAATACATCGTCACCTTCACAGCGCGGCGTATAACTTATTTGTAGTTGCCTGGATCTTGGATTCGTCATTAAAATGGGACACGTCAATTCTTTGATAACATGAAAAACGGAAGCAATAAAAGTTTTAACAGATAATACTTTCGCCACTACTCATGAAGAACCTGATCCATGGAAGAAAAATCTCCACTCCGGCTCATGGGAATAACATCACCCAAATCTCGCCTCCATAATAATTGACATCATAGGTTCTTCCGCCACAACCTCGAACCACCAGATCTACCGCGAACCGTCTTTTCTCCGTCCAGCCAAAAATGGCACATATTTTAATTCTAATAAACTCATTCATCTCCTAGGTTTGTAGTTCAGTTGGTTAGAACACGGTCACTTAACATGTTTGGGGGCCGTATGTGGGTTCGAGTCCTACTAGACCCATATTCCTACCTTTTTCTTTTTTTAACACTCTCGAGGAGGCACAGTACATCATCAATAATTGTTGCAGACTTTTTCAACTTTGTTAATGACGCAAGATAATCAGATCGTGAATTCCTGCCCTGTAATACTAAATGCTACAGATATGTTGTTACAATAGAGAATGTGGTCTGTTCCGACCTACGGCCGGTCCATTTGGTTGCCACCACAACGCCAACTGTTAGTACACAACTCCAAATGTTGATAAACTGGTTATTCGTGCCTAAAAGATGGTGGCGCTAGCCACCATCTTTAGACACGAGTGTACGTAATGTGACGGGTTTCGACTATATATATGATGTGATCTTGAGAATATGAAACTCGCCTATTATTCCCGCAAGAGCAGCCTGGGATGAATAATATTCCTAGTGCTGCAGTTAATGTTATCCTGTGACAGCAATATTCTGACATGTTTCCTCTGCCTGACCCTTCACAGATATGTGCTGGAACACAAAGTTCATTTGGGCAAGCAGAAGATATTTTCTTGCCAATTGGAGGATTTGTCGAGTAATTTCACCTCTACAATACATCATGGGTTGTAACTTCAGGACAATAGCTCTCGAATTCTTGATCAGCCACTTCTGTATTGAGAGGTTTCTACACAATCGCTAGTTTTTCGGTTTGATTTCAATTTTTTGGGCCTTGCCAAACTCAATATTATGACATATGGTACAGTTTTGATATATATTGGAGGCTCTAACTTTTACCCCAGGAACTCTCGGGGAATCGTCCCAGAGCGTACATGATATCTTGGGCCTTTTGTCACCCTTATTCCTTATACTGGTTTTACTTCTCGTCTGTACATTTGGAGCCCTGTTTGCTCTTTTTCCACTGGCCTCTCTAAACCTGCCTGTCTCCTCTCCCCTCACTGAACTGTTCTTCCACTTCTCACCTGGCCTCTGTCTTCAATGCTACCTCATTGTTTCTACTCCTTTTCTGCCCTTCTTCCTCTCTGTCTTTTCACTCGTATTATTTCTTCTTCAGCTTTTACATCACAGTTCATCTTTCTCACTTTGCCAATCCTTCCGCCATTTATGTACATATGTGTCTGTCTTTCATGTTTTTTTTATATATTTTTTTTCTCATTGTGCAGCATTAACTTTTGTGTTTATTCAGAAAGACTTAATGCACATTCTAAGATTTGATCAGTGCTCCTCAGCCTGTTCTCATTCTTTCCGAGTCATCTTCCAAACCGGGAGCATCAATTACCTGTGCCTGTATTCACTCTGCAGTGGCAGTCTTGGTAGTGGAGATCATGATGGTAAGGGATTTAGTTCCAGCAAGAGAGTGAAGTATAACCTGAAGTGACCTGAAGTTGGGTGGTGTGATTTCTATGGAGTTTCAGTTCCCGGCAGAGTTCATTCATGATTCCTCTGTATTTAGTATTTTGGGCAGCGTAGTGGTAGGTGTTTCGGCGTTTGTAGGGGTTGTAATGGACATGACCCAGGTGCATTTATCTGACGGGTATGTAGTTCTCTGATTTTGTTTTCTTGATTGGGTAATCCAGGAAATAGCTAAGATGGTCGAGGAGATTATCCGGGGGGGGGGGGGGGGGGGCTGTGATGCCATATCCAGCTGCCTTACGTAAGGCACTTTGTATGTCTTCAGTTATTTTTACTTTCTGTAGCATGATTCCCAGTCCTGCAATGTTTTGGTTTCGTATTGGCGTTTTGGGATATGGTAGCGGTACGGTTTTGGTTTTCGGAAGTTGCTTTTTTGCAACATGGTCTGGGATGACTGTGTGTCCGGGTACCCGGAGATGATTATTTCAATATTGAATCTTGTCTTCCCAGAGTTTTCGTGGTTGCTTGAATACTTCGGGCTATCGCTGGATCTGGTCTGATCTCTTTTGAAGGTGTTTGATTCCCTGGATAGTCGAGTGGTTGTTACATAAGACCAAAATATAACGGTTTGGTACTTTTTTTCTCTTGATGAATGATGCAGGCTGCAGCTCTTTTCAGTCCCTCATTTATTATTGCCTGGAGCCAAGCAGTGTAAAATTCACCAGTTTCCCCCATATCCAAAAAACGGTTGTTCTGATGATTTTCGGCAGTCTGATGGGGAGAAAATATCCAGCGCCTGTTTAGTTCCCCAGAGATGAGTTATTGGTATATATTATTTATTATTATATTTTTTTTGTTACACTTGGAGTTCTTAGAGTCTTCTGAGATGTGTTGTTGGAGCATTTTCTTTTGATAATTCTGGTATTTAGGTGTTCATTGGACTACTTTTCCAAGGTAACATATCTGGGTGTACAGTATCTTTGCTACACGATGCAGCCAAGGTCCTAGGTATCGGAGCATTCGTGCAAGCTGTCATGGTGCGTTTGATCCGGTCTGCCTTAGCAGTTGTATTCCCTCCCCGATTGTGTTCGAACTTGTCTTTCATTTCAATTTCGGATGCGTGACTGGTTTTGAGTTTTGACGCTTTTCGCCGACGTGCTTTTTGGCTTCGGTGAGCCCATCTTTCTTTTGTTCCAGGAACTGTCTTGCAAGGTAGTTACTTTTCTGTGGTGTATGGAACTTACAGCATCGCCCTCTTCTGCCTGACCATGCTCTTCAGATGCTTTCATCTTAAGCTTTTTGATATCCTCGTGATGTTTCTAAAGCTCAGTCTCAGTAATGGCAAAATCCTCCTTGGGAGGCTTCAAAACCTTCTCTGCTTCCTTCACTGTTTTTCTGCCTTGAGCCTATTCAAATCCGCTGTGTATATCTCCTCATACAGTGTGTCAAGATTCTCCTCAATAAAACCTCAGTTGCTTAACTTCATCTAATCGCGTCTCATCGACTGTATCTGCAGCAGGCGGCAGAGGTCACAGGTGTCGGTGTATTTAATCCGGTCTACCACTGACCGCTGAATTCCATGACAAATTGTATCAAAGATGCGAAGTGGTTTGGGATTGGAAAGGCGAATGGGAACCGTGGCCAGGCAGCCAGGAGAGCAGTCTTATATGTTTCCCATCAAATCTGTTCCGGTTGCCACGCCATGTGTTGCCGAAGCTTTTGAATTGCCGCCCGACAGCCAGAGGAGTTCACGTTTAAATTAGTCTAAAATTTACGTCACCACAGCTTTTAATTCTAACGCTATACCATATCAGGCGAATACCAAAATATCTCCTTATAGTATTCTGACTGATAACACCTGACAACCCACCCAAAGGCGCCAAAAATACCAGAAATATTCGCGTGCATTGAACCTCGGTATAACTAAGTGCAAGAACTGCTGGCACTCGGTGTTGCTCAAAACAGCCTTTCTGCAAACGTACAGAGACGCGTCTGCCGCGGCTGTCCCACACGCCTTGATCGCAATCTCACGACACCAGCACCTGCCTCCAACTACGCGTCATGAGCTTTGTTTTCGTTTTTCCTGGGCCGTTACATTATTGATGTTGACAGTACAACTATCACTACACGCGGGGGTATTTGGGGTCGTACTGGTGGATATACTTCTTATGCTGAGGAGAGTAGAATAGGAGGCCTCGGGATGATACATATAGGACTGACTTTTTTTGTACCGATACCGAGTTCAAGTAGTGTTTGCACTTGTTCTGACTTAGCATCAATACATGCGAAGTTTTATTAGTATTTTCAATGTTTTTGGGTGGGGTTTGGGTGTTGTTGAGTGAGCTTTCAGGTGTTGTTGCGAGTATTTCGAAGTCACGATTTTTTCATCTGTCGCGCGCGTTGCTACGTCAAAAATAAAGACCCTTTTCTGGCAGTGTATCAGTAGCTTTCCATTATTTTCGGGGTTTGAAATTAATTCTTTTTTTTGTGGAATGGTTATGAAAAAGGTCGGGATTGTTATTAGTTTTTTGTTCCCTTTTTTGTTTTTTGGAGGGTAGTGGAGGGGCTTTTCTGGGGTGGGAGAGTTGGCGGGGTATTTTCTGCATAAAGGAGTTTGAAGGGAAAGGCCTCGATGGAAGTTCGGGTGGAATTAGTCAATTGTGCTTAGTCAGTGAGAATAGTCGATTAGATTGGCCAGTGGGATTTTGGCCGGTGGAAGAAATTGGGTGGAGTGGGACCTGATTACACACACCACCCTCATGGCAGCTCTGACGTCCATCAGGCCACGCGGGTGCCATGCTCCAAGCCAAGCGTCTCGGAAACTACCTCGTCGTCGGAATCCACTCATCAGATGAAGAAATTCTCGTCAACCAGGGACTTACTGTCATGACCTTGCACGAGCGCGAGCGCGAGCTCCAGGTCTCTGTCTCTCGTTGGGCCAACCTCGCCATTCCTACTGCACCCTACGTCACCGAACCTCACGGGATGGATCACCGGACTTGTACGGATGCAAAGACGTTGTCCATGGTGATCATGTTACCACCGATGCTCCTGGCGAGGACTGCTACCGTATCGTTAAGCAATCTGGACGGTTCAAGATTGTGCAGAAGACTCCTGGAATTTCTACAGCCGATTTAGTCGGACGGATGTTGATGATGAAAACCCAGCATCACCTCGACCTTGCAAAAGAGCTTGAAAAGCCGGTGAAGAATACCAAAGAGAAAATAGAGGAGGTGATGGGGATGATGAAGAACTACGCTAGCGATGCTGCTGGTACCGTTGGAAAGGGTCCGGTTGTATTTACCTACTCGACAGAAACTTCCGCTACTAAGAAGATCGTCGACGGTGTCCTCCCAATGGAGGGACAGAAGATTATCTACGTTGATGGAGGATTCGACCTTTTCACACCCGGACACACTGAGTTTTTGAGGCTCGTAGTTGAAGCAGAGACTGAAGAGGGAAAGCTGGCACCTTATGTTATTGCAGGAATCCACAGTGATAAGGTCACCAACAATTGGAAGGGATAGAACTATCCTACCATGAACATTTTTGAGCGCAGGATGTGTGTTTTCCAACGTCGTTACATAAACTCGCTAATTTTGGATGCACCGTTTATTCCGGATGCTAAGTTTTGGATGCTTTGGAACAAATATACGGAGGCAGAGTCGAGGCGGTTTACCA